CGTCGGCCGCGCCGCCCTCGTCGCCCTCTACGTCGCCTCGGGCGCCGCCGGCTTCCTCGGCAGCCTCTACTGGCTCACCCTGCGCGGCCACCTGCTCTTCTCCTCCCTCGGCGCCTCGGGCGCCGTCTACGGCCTCGCCGGCGCCTACTTCTGGCTGCACCGCTTCGACCACTTCCGCGTCCTCGGCTTCCCGCCGCCGCCCCTCGAGGGGCCCCAGGGCCTCGCCTTTCTCGGCCTCGTCGTCGGCGTCCACGTCTTTGCCTTCTTGCGCCCCAGGACCACCGTCGACCTCATGTCCCACATGGCCGGCATGGCCGCCGGCATCCTCGGCGCGTCGCTCGCCCGCGGCGCCAAGCAGCCCGCTGCCTCTGCTTCTGCGTCGGACATGCAAAGGGTTGATCTCGTCCGGGACGTGCGCGTCACGACGACGTCGGCGGGCGACAAGGGCGGCGGATCCGCGGGCCTGTGATGCGAGGATGTGGGTAGACTGGGACGTGCATCTTTTGTAAAACACTGGGTATATATAAACGGCGTTGCGTTCTGTTTTTCTTCTGCCTGCTGGGTATCATGGCGGACCTCCTTTCTATGAAGCCTTTTCGAACTTCACTTGTGTTCATCCGTGATATCTGCGCCTGTTCTCCTGTGATCTATTCAATCCGGCAGGCCTTGGCCGTGCGCCAGTGGTTTGATGTTTCCTACGTCCTGTTCTCCTGCAGCTGGTCAGACAGGCCTGGTGGTACATGTAGCTGCAACGACTTCAGCTACAAAACGGCACGGCCCACGCATATCTTGAACGAGGAATACGCTGCCGACTAGACGAATTCCGTACCTTGGCGGATCAAAGTCTTCGCATACCCTCCATATACCCCAGGTGCTGTTGCTATTCCCCGCTTACCACAAGTGACACGACCTGCTCACATGTCGCGTGTCCACCATACGCAACCCAAAGTCAAATGGTCAAACAGTAGCAGCACAACATGACATGGCCTCCCCATGAACAGTGCACGCCCAGGCGGCGATGATCGTTTCTCGAAAGACTCATCATCGGCAATATACAACCATCCGGCGGTGTAGATACACACACATGCAGGAGACTGTCAATCTGCATCGAGCGAAGCCCATGTACCCTTGTTTCCTGACACCAGACGACCGCCATGTCACCTCGTGCTTTCTGGACGATCGCCGACGGGGAAACCACACTCGTGGGACACGTCCGGGCCTGGGCCAGCACCTGTCCATGTATGCTTAAACGTATCGTGGTGCGCGGCCTTTGAATCAAGCAAGAGATCGGCGCAGCAGCCATCTTTGTCTCCCGAGACCCAAGTAGCTGGAAACCCAGCACACCATCTTCTCGAGCGGCTCGCAACGAAAAGCGAAGAAAACGTCTTCCAGTCGGTCCCGAAGCCATGGATCTGTCTCATGAGCTGCAGCGTCCGCTCAAAGAGTCCTTAGCGTTGTCTTGGTGGCGTGCGCTCAGGGGGCATCGTCAGTCCCTGGGCGAGGCCTCGACCTATGCACGCGAGGCCACTTCACCGTTCCAAACCACATTCCTCCCAACATTCCTTGTTGGTGATGTATGTTGTTTGCTCCTCTGCGCCGAGAGCGGGTCCCGATCCTGCCACGGCTTATCACATGGCCCTGCTAGACTACCCCCTCAGGGTTCCGCGGGCGACAGAGGCTTTTCCGAGAGTCTAGCCCGCCGAACACGCCCGACGACGACGAAGTCATGGCTGGGAATGGAAAGAGCCCGAGGTCGGGATTGTAGCGGCGGGTCGGGACAGTAGAAGGGAGAAACTCGACAAGATAGACTTCCCGTTGCTCAATTCTTGAGAAGCTCGCTAGAGAACGTCGGAACGAGCCTTTCGGCTGGCGGAACTGGCTCTCACGATCAAACTAATCGAGCTGCGCAAGCCACATGGTGCGATTGGAATGCCTCATCCGCTCTGCTGCATGCGCAGCCGACAGGGCCAAGTCTCATGGCAGCCCGGACACGCCGAGTGATTCCTCCTACACCTGTCCACCAGGGGCCCAGCTTGCGCTCGCAGCCCAGACATCGACAGATGTGACAGGAGGTGCAGGTCCGCCACAGAGAAGCCACGGGAGCTGAAGTCAAGGGCGTACTATGCAACAGAATTGAGGTGCAGATTTTGGTGCTGACGACTGGACCATGGTTTCCGGCCGGGCGGCTCGTTATCGATCAATCACAACGTGTCTCGTCACATCATGAACAACATGGTGGTCTGGACTCGAAGGCTCGCGGAGCCGGCCCCGCCGTTTATTATTGGGAGGGTCCCCTTCGAGTACCAATGTACGCAGAGCAGTGGATGGACAGCGTTCGTGGGCTGGGCTGGCTGGGCTGGCTGTGCACTGGGATGCACCCCAGGATCAATTTACTGTCAACCAGCTGAGTGAGATTGACGTCGCTGGGGTTTGAGATCATGCTGGCGAGGATTTATCGCGATATGACCGCCGGAGAATCTCGCAAAGATGAACAAGTCGTAGCAGAGTGGAATCTCCCAGTTGGTGAAGTGGACCTCGGGGCCTCGCCATCGGCGTATCATCTATATTTGTGCTACTAAGCCGCCAGAGGACAGGGGAAGAAGGCCTAGCAGGCATGCCTGGCTTGGAAGCCGAAGGACGGGTCACCGCACAACCGTGGACACCCTAGTGCACAGCGTTGCAACAGGAGTGGCAACCGTAATGCGGTCGCCTGTCTCTCGTGTGCGGATGCCGGGGGCCTTCAGAGAAAGCTGTCGGCGCCGGGTGCTTCGACGTGGGGATTGGCGCGACGATCAGGGTGCTTTGTAAGTGCCAAACGCTCAATAGCTTCGAGCTAAATCGACGACGTGGTAATGAGTTGCCGCCCTTTCTGTTTGAAGATGGCGATAATCGGACCATGTCGACAGCGAAGCTATACAGCAAAGTTTCCTCGGCAAACCTTTTCTTGTGCAAGGGTCGTCCCAGATAGATTAGGGGCCGTAGCCGGGTCGCACAACGACGCACAGCACAGCTTCGGGCCCAGGCTGTTGGCTTGCCCTGCGAGCCACGAGCCAGTTCGTGGCCCCCGCGTGGTGGCGGGGCCCCTTGGGCCCCCAAAGGACCCCATACGAATAGCTCCCGGCCATATGCAGTTAGAGCCAGTCGACAGAGCTTGGGACCTGGAGCTAGCGAATGTCAGGAACGGGCACGACGCCAGAAGGGTGGGTTGGCGCGGCGCGGCATTGGTGGGATGCCGATGTCTGTGGTTGAAAAGGGTGTTGCACACTCAGGGGGTTGTTGTTGTCCTGCTGGATGCTGAACATGCCAACACCACAAAAAAGTCGGACCACGAACCAGAGGACAAAGGGCAGAAATGAAGAATGAAGCCCACGAAGCATCGGGATGACCCTTGCTGCTTTGGGAACACGGAGCTGGGTCGGCATCACCAAGACATGCATGATGTGTCGAACACTGGCTGGTCAGCAGAAGGCTAATACCGTACATACATTACCTTTGGGCCGCACGCCGGCTCGCTCTGGTCGCGCTGCTCGCTGTTGTTGCATCCGACCTGTATTAAACACATGGTCCCCCCTTTTTGGAAGCTTTGTTTCAAAGGCAAGGGGCGCTTCATCCCACCCTCCTCCCTCCAGTCACCGTCGTCGTCATCGCCATCCCGACGAGGCTGTCTTGCCCGTCGACTGACTCGATCCTGCTTGTTTGACAGTCAAGTGCCAGGACGCCGTCGAAAAGGCAGACCCGGGCGTCCCAAACCGTTGACGATCGTCATTGCCCTATCCCTATTCGACGCCCCTGCTCTGCCCATCTCTCTTCCATTTGACGGCCCCCGGTCCCTGACTGCCAGGGCATTGATTGGCCTCTGCGTTGTGGAGTGCAGAACTCTCTGTTCGCCGTGGTGACCGTGAGGAGGCAGAAAGACGAGGTGGCAGAAAGCCGAGGTGGCAGAAAGACCAAAGAGCCGTCAGCAAGGGAAACATGACAGTGTCGGCGCTGTCATCTTTGGGGGTCGTATCACGCGGCGACTCGGGCATTCGCGAACCCAGGCGGCACGGGCATGGGAGTCCCCGGTCGAACCGGACCCCAAGGTCGAGTGCAAGGAGAGCAAGCCCAGGTCGCAGCCAAACAGGCTCAAAGGGGGATGCAACCGTTGCAGATTCGCATGGCCTCATAAGGCGCCTCGAGACCGATATGCCCGGCAGATCTCGTGTTGACTCGGTCTCTCCGTCCATTCCTGGCGACGATTTCGCTTCCATGTCTGCTTTCGCTCCGGGGGCGTCGTCGTCGTCGTCGTCGTCGTCGCCGACGGCCACCTTTTTATTTTCCGCAAGGTCGAGTCTGGCGTCGATTTCTGGCCCTGCATCCGAGTTTGTGCCCGAGTCCAAGACGACGTCCTGGTCGCCCTCGGCAATTGCAGTCTCGACAGACTGTGGCAGCGACAGCGATCAAATCAGTATCAGCAGCTGCTGCAGCACCAACGCCAGCAACGACACCGGCACGACCATTGGCAACTGCCACGGGCCATTTGGCAGAAGCAGCAGCAGCAATAGCAGCAGCAGCAGGAAAGGGGCAGAAACCACAACAGTCACCGCTTCCTCGCCGTTTCCTCGGCCACGCCTGCCTTCACCATCCTGGACGATGCCGTCGGCCACAACGGCAGCTACGACTGGCGGCGGCGACGGCGCCATGGCCAAAACCCGAAACAGAATGGAAGCGACGACCGGCGGCGTGCAAACGCAACTGCTAGACTGGAACTCCACAACGACTTCCCTATTCAACCTAGACGCCCAATCGCCGCGCTCCCGCCGATCACAGCTCGATCACCATCAACCAACGCTATCAGCTCGTGCCTGCGAGCCACAGCTTGTGCCGGGCTTCGATCGCGACCGCGTTCACGATTGGAACCTCAAGACGCACCAAGGACCCTGGGCTCACGTATGGCAAGATCTCCCACCGCCGCCTTCGCCGCGTTTCGACTTTGACAACGAGGCCTGTCGTCGTCCTTCTACCTCCAAGAGCCACCACTTTCACTTCCGATGGCCCAAGCGAGACAGCAGCGCAACGCAAGATGACTTTCTGCCGCTTCCTGCACAAGGCCGCATCAGCTCCGAATCGGCCATGACGATCATTGGCCGTAGAAGCAGCTTCGACAGAGACACTCTCAAGGGCGACATGCAGGGTCATGGTCAAGAGGAGCTCCAGAAGGAGGAGCACCAGCAGCAACAGCAACAACAACAACAACAACAACAAGAGCAGCACCACCAGCAGCCCGGCGATATCACGGCGAACATGACGAAGGAGGAGTTCGACGCTCTCCCTTTGACCATTCAACGCAAGGTACGTTCACTCTGGGCCTGACCCGGGTTCCTGTTTACCGTCTCCTGTCTCATTCTCGCGTGTCTCTCTTTTTTTTCCCCTCTCTTCTCTCACCATTTCCCCTTGTGTTGCTCCCTCCCAATCTTTACATTATGCCTCTGGCCAACGAGTCGTTCTCCCCCCCCCCCACATGGCTCGATTGGGTAGCCTGAGCCCACCTAAGTTACCTACCTGAGCTCGCTGAGGCATCTCACACCTGCACCGGTGCCAGCACCAACAGCCTGGCATCCACTAACCCCGTCCCCTTCCCCCTTCCCGATCCCCCCAATGGTGGGCCCCCTTCTCCCCCCCTATGGCCCCAAGCCTAAAAGGCGGAAGCGCCCAAATCCCAGCGCAGGCCCCCCCCCCTGGACAGCCCCAAACTGTGCAAAGCCTGGCGATGCCTTGGGCGCTCGGGCTTTTGTGATTCGGCCACCCGCGACAGATAATTTCAATCTGCTGAGGTGTGTTCGACTCGGTCATGGCCAAGAGCTTGCATGGATGGGCATGAGCGGTGTTCATCTTGATCATAAGTCTCGCCTGGCTCTGTCCCTCTTTCTCGTTCTGGTCGCCCCCTTCCCAAGGTTACACGGAATCGTCCCTCCCATCTGTCTCATCTGTCTCCCATCTGTCCCATCTGTCTCCCATCTGTCTTGTTCTCAACCCAATTCACCCGTCGCCGCCTTACACCCGACCGAGTACAACGTTCTGTACGCCATCATCCCATCATCCGTCTTTCTACAGCACCAGCCCACAACCGTTGCAACCCCCTACTCAAAAAGCGACCAAGATACGCGCCAGGCGTCACAGCTAGCGTGCTCCCTTGTCCCTCCGCCACACCACGACCACTTCCACTTCCACCCATACTCCACGGCAGACGGAAGGGACGGACGGAAAGAAAGACAACACGAAGACAAGCTCCAAGCGGCAGGCCTGGTATGCAACTTCCAGTGATCGACTACAAGGCACCCACCCCCCAATAATTCCTCATCACGTTCCCCTCCCTCCAATCGCCTGGTCATAGTCCCACCACACACACACACACACTCTTCCTTCACGCACCTTGCCTCTTCTCGCCCCCCCTCAACCGCCAAGCCGACATATGTGGGCGTGAGGCACCTTCACCTGCATGAGCGCTGCGGCCTGTTCTCGAGCTACCAGGCTACATCTACATCTACCTATGGGCGTCCCCCCGTCTCGGTACTGATGTGTCTGACCGACTCGACGACTGGAACTTGGGCCCTGTGACGCGTTGCGCTTGACATGCAGGTCCCGCTTACAACATTCTCACACCCCCGTACGCTTCGTTCCTGCATTAAGACATCCCCCCTCTCTCTACCCACTGGTGTTATTGACTGTTGCATTGCCTTGTCCCCCCCCCTCCCCTACGACTTTCGAGACAGCATCTTTGTTCGTTGTACTAAAGCCCTTGGCCCCGCCCGCAGTACTTCTCATCTCTCGAGCGCCTTCGCTTCGCCCAACTGCCACCCACCAACACAAGCCAGCCTTCTTTCGCTGTCGTTAGTGCTCCCACCCGGCACACCGACACCGACACCGAAACGAGCACCAACGTCACAGCCACCGACCTTGACGGCGTCACTCTCTCGAGCTTGAAGGACAGAAGACGACGAACATCGCGCATCGCCTCAGAGCAAGCCGCCAGCCGTCTGACCAGAAGGTCTTCGCGCCGCCCCTCCTTTTATGCGACCCTCCCCGACAAGATCAAGCGGCAGCACTTGACAAGCGAGGAGCAAATTGTCGTGGCCAGGTTGCGCAGACACAATATCAAGCTGACCTCGCCCAAAGACACGGTGCGCAGGTCCGGCCGCAGAGCATCCAACGTGGCCATCCCCGAGAGCTTGTGCAGCCTCACATTGGTCCCGCCCCGCCCCCAGACCATGGAGACTCACGAGTCGCGGCCTTGGATTCCCGAGGCCGTACAGAAGGGTACGGACTCCTTCTACGACAGTTTTAGGTGGCTCGAGGAAGATGACGAGCTCGATCTCCGCTTGCACCTTGACGACTACCATGCGAATCTGCGGCAAGAACTCCCACCAC